CTGGTCTGGTCAGGGCCGGCCGGGGGCGCTCACAGCATGGCACGGCCTCGGGGACACGGAGGCTGGACGCGCGCGGCAGCCGGGCTCCCTCGACGTGTCGCGCCCGCAGCCTCCGCTGCCTGCTCTATTTATGCGGCGCTTCGCTAACCGCGCGGCCACGTCACGGGGTCAGTTCCCGCCTCCCTCCCCGAGCAGCGAGAAGGGCGGGAGCGACCGCGACTCAGCAGGGACTCGGAGCGCCACGGAGGGCAGCGCGGTGGCCCTGTACTGGGAGGGGGGAGGGGTGGCAGGGACGGCAGAGACCCCTAGTCCCTGCCACGGGAGAGACCCATCACCCTGAGTGGAGAGCCCCTATCTCCCCAGGCAGAGAGTCCCCCAAACCCGCCCTCAACACCCGGTGGCCCAGGGTTGACCAGAGCCCCACCCCTATTACCAGAGACCCTGGTCCTCAGGGATGTGAGGTCCCCCTCCCCACAGGGCGCACCCCTGCGGGGAAAGCTGCAGAGCTCCAAGGCCAGGAACCGTGGCAGGGTGAGGCAGGGCCCACCCCTCATTCCAGGCCAGGCACAGCCAGCAGTCCCGGACCCCCTGCTCGCGTACTGACACCCGGCTTTCCATCTCCGGGTGCCAGTGTCCTATTTTGCTAAAAGGGAGCAAATCTACGAGCACCATGGGGGCTGGACTGGGGGAACCCCCTCCCGGAGGCGTGGGCACTCCCTACATCCCATGGGCATCACTGGCCTAGAAGGGGACCCCCTGCCCATGCTCCCCTCCTGACCCGGTTCAAGACACAGGGTCAGGCAGGGGATAAGCCCTTGGGGGCATGGGGTCCCAGAGCACACAGACCAGCCCAGGTTCCCAAAGGTGGCCAAGGGGTGGGCAGGTGGACAGAGCAGCAGTAGCTGCTGTCCCGGGGCAGGTGGCAGAGAAATCGGGCAGGAACAGACCCTCCTCTGCTAGGTACAGGCCAGGGGGCTCCTTCCCCGCTCACAGACACCAGGGGACATGCAAGCCATGAAGTCCTCAGCGGTGGCAAGTACAGGCAGCAGCTGCCTGTAGGTGCCGGCCAGCCCCGAGCTAGGAAGGTGGGGGGCAGCCCTCTCCCCACAAACCAAGTTGGACAGTAGGCTGGCTGGTGTCATCGAGGACCCGTGGTGAACAGGATACGGGACAAATGACAATGGCGATGCTACCTTACGTTCATCCTACATTTTAGTCTTGAACCCTTTGTGTAGACAGCTCAGGCCTCCTCTGCGGGGAGAGCCAGTGGCCTCTGCCTGGATGAGGAAGGACACCGGGGTGCTGTCGGGTCAAGGCCAGCCGGCCGCTTAGGAAGGATCGGGGTCCTTGCCTGGGCAGCTGAGTGCGTCCTGGTTCGCGAGAGGGCAAGGAGGGGTGCTTGTGGGGAGACCTGGCTTGGCGAGGGGTCTCTGGAACAGACTCCTGGGGGTGACAGGGGAGGGGGTGTTCTCAAAGACACAATTTGACTTTGTCACTCCTATTTCAGGCAGCCCGGGTGAGAGGGGACCGAGGGGCAGGGGTTGCTGACCAGGACTCACAACCCGATTTCTGAAGTCCATGGCAAATTGAGGGCGCTTCCCCGCCAAGGAGGGGAGTAGGAGGTGGGGGGCTGTCACTCTGGTAGCCTTGGTCATTTATGGGCAGAGGGACCGCTGAGGTCAGTCCTACCCTGAGTCCTCGTATATAGCAGCTTGGGGAGCGGGCAGGGCCAGCCACGAGTGCCCCCCACCCCCTGCCACTACCTGAGAAATGCCACCGCCTTTTGACAACTGCTGGTTGAACGGGGCGGGGGGTTCTTGCCATCATCTGGGAACACTCACTTTTCTTCTAAGAACAAATGCGCCCCGTGCACCTACGTCCTGGCCAGGTTCAAGCTCCCGCCTCCCATGTTAGCACCTCCTGCCGAGGTTGAGAACTTGGGGAGTCCCCTGCTACGGTTTACTTTGTCAAGGAGCCTCTCAGTCTGGAGCAGCAGAAATTTTAAACTGAAAACCTGGGTCCAGAATGCCCTGGGCATGGATCCAGGTCTCACAGTGGCGACCAGGTGGGCCCCACAGAGAAGCAGGACACATGTCCCACACACTGATCAAGTGATGCACATAGGTGGGGCCATCAAATTTTTATCCAAATGGCCCCCAGACCTTCCTGGAAGCAGACCCTCCTGCATGCAGGGCCAGGGTGCTGGTAGCGACCCGAGGGGCCGTTGGCACCGCAGCCAATAGAGAACAAGCTCATGCAAAAAAAAAAAAAAAATTCCTGCCCTCTGGCCACTTTTCCCGTGTCTCACGGGAAAATTGTGAGCAGTCGTCACTGAGTAATCACACACCTGTGCTCGAAACAAAGCCGCTCCCTCCGAGTTCATCGGGTCTGTCACCATGACCCTGCTTGGGGGACACCCACTGTCGGTGACTGGCGACCCTGGCTAGGAGACCCAGCCGGAGCAGAATGAGGCGGGAGCGGAGGGCGCTGTGATTTCGGGGCTCGGCAGAGGTTCAAAGGTGGGCAGAGCACCTGGGCGGATAGACGCCTGCCAACCAGCACGAGCCGTGCTGGGACCCGCGCCACATTCTAATGGGATCTGCGTACTCAGCAACGGCCTGATGGGACTCCTCGTCAACTTGTCATCTTGAAGATGGCCCAGTATGTGGCAGACGAGATGGGTCACCATTAGAGTAATGGAAATCAGTCAGAAAGCATAATTTTCCCCAGGCATCATGCACTGGCCCGTCTTCCCTGAGAAGCCTGGTTCGCCACTACCAAGAAAAAACAAGCCGGTCCGACAACCAGAAAGAGTTGGGCAGAGAACCCTGGGGCCCTGCCCGCACCGGGGTCGACCACGTGCGCCCGGAGGGGGGCGATGCTGGGGGCTCCGCCACATGCCTAGGAGGCATCTGCTCCCCCCCAGTTCCCCCGCTCCCAGGGCTGCAGCAGGGAGCTCGGCAGCACACGCCTTGGCCCTCGTGGAGACCCAAACATGCAAAAGCAATGATACGAATAATCTCCTTGTCATCGTGAGAAGGAGGTCTGGATTAGATTCAGGGGGCCTGGCCCAAGATTGGCCAGGTGAGGCTCAGCATCTTCCAGGTGGAAGGGGTCACGTAGGTAGGCTCCCATTTAGGTCCTTTTCCTTTTCTCCTCCTGACTGCCTGGAATGCAGACGTGAGGGCTGGAGCTGAGCAGCCATTTTGGACCATGAGGTGATGGCTTTGGATGACAGCAAGGAATCTGGGTCCCTGGGTTGCCTACCTCCAGGCTTGTTTCACAACTTCTCTCCCAGTTCAGTCAATTTTATTTGGGGGTTTTCTATTATATGTAGCTGGACTGACTCCCATTTAAAACAGCGTCTCACACAAAAACAGCCAACAAATATTTGATGAATGAATAAATGAATACGAAGGAATGAAGGGATGCACCTCCTGCGATGGGCTGGCAGAAAAGGAGAGGCTAGGAGGAGATGACGGGCGGACACTACCTACGCACCTGACAGCGATCTCGTCATTATTGAAGAAGCGGAGAAACGGCTTAATGATCTAAAATTCTTTAGTAGGTTTGAGGATACATATTCAGTTCTTCAATGATTTCGTTCAAGGATTGGGGGGACCTGCGAAGACTTGCTTAGCGTTCATAAAAACGGTCATGCTTTTACTCGGGCGCAGGCTGCGGGGAAGGGGGCGAGGAGGGGGGTGGCAGGTGGGATGTCTGGTGAGGGTTCTCTCCTCCGCTTAGGCGACCTCTGGGGACAGCCCCCCTCCCACTTCTTTGAACACCTTGCTGCCCAGAGTCACATCTAGCTGTAATGGTGGCAGCGAATGAGATCTTTTTTATGGACGGTGCTGGGGTCCCGCTAAAATCAGGATTCTGGCGCCAGAGGAAGGACGAGTGGACGCCGGCGCCGGCTGTTAGCAGGCCGGGCTCGGGGGTACGCTTTTCTGAGAAGGAATGCGCCCCGCGCACGAACGTCCAGGCCAATTCGACAAGAGCAATTGTTTTCGTGGTCACGG